ACAACCCACCCTGCTGGACCTCCCAGGAGCCCACGAAAGTGGCGATAATGGTGCAATTCCCTGGGACTGGCTTTTCAATCGTTATCCACTGAACGCCCTGACTTTGAGGACTTCCGAACGGATCGGCAGTCCTGACACACTCGGAGCCATCAATTCTAAGGGGGCAGGCCTGCGCGGGCCAATGGGCGCGTGGAGTGGTAGCGACACGCCTCGGAAAAGAAACTGCTCCGTTCGACGCGCTACGCGGCAACACATGGAGGGCGAAACAAGACTGCTACTTGAGCAGGGACAGACCGTCCCAGCATTCCTATAGTCCTACCACGAAATGTTCTTAGAACCCAAACTTGTTCTAAGAACAAAAACAAGGTTCTTAGAACATGAACCCGATGTGCTCAAACAAGACAGGCATGTTCTAAGAACATGTCGTGGAAACCACAAGAGGTTCGTAGAGCCTTGTCTGGTAGGGCTGTGGGTGAGCCAGGACGCTTCGCCACTGCTCGAGCTGCTCTGCACCACTCGTCACGTGGCAACGCCGAGAGACGGGCATGCCTCCCCTCCCACCCGCCACGTGGCCTCGCATGGGGGGGCGACACAATAGCCGTCCCCTCTGCTCGCCACGTGGCGACGCCTTGGGGCGCGAGACAGCAATCGACTGCACTCCGGGCGTGCCAGCGCCGCGGGAAGGAACACACACACATATATATGTATATATATACAGGACTGCAGAGGCGCTTCGCGCCATGCACCTTGGTCCTTGAAATTTGGACTGCAGGCGGAATGGCAGGAAGGTCAAGCCGACAATTTAGCGATGACTCCTGGTTGCCTTTTCCGGCATCGCTGCTATAATGATGTTATTCGTTATCCTTCCTCTATGTCTATTGTTCTGTATTTTCGCCAAACCCTGCGCATTCTCCCCATCCTCCTCAGCTCTTTTTTGCGGAGGATCCTCCTTGGAGAGCCTCTAGGGGCCTCACAAAAGTTGTTTCGGGCTTTCTGAAGGCCGTCTGGAGGCCTCCAGGGCGTATTCTGGGGGCCTCCGGGGGTTTCCTCGGGCCACCCTGCCTCCAACCGCCGTCTCCCTGAACGACCGAATCACGATTTGGAATTCTTCGGAGGGTGTCTTTGGGCCATCTTGGGCCGCCATGAGGCGCTCTGAAGGCCATCATGGACCCGTGTTGTGCCGTTTTGGGGCTCTCTTGGATTGCCTGGAAGCCTTTTCGGATGGTTGTGGGGCGATTTGGGAGCCTCCCAAGCGGCTTCGGACGCCCGGAAGACCGCCGTCTTGGAGCGTCGGGAAGCCGAAAAGAGGAGAACCCCAACATTCACCAACAACCCTCAGAAAATCAATGATTTTTGCCTCGGGGGGCCTTCTTGGGAGTGTTCTTGGAGGCCTCTGTGGGGCCGTCCTGGAGGCCTCTTGGGCCATCTTGAGGTCACGTCGGTCACTCTTGGAGCGCTGTTGTGCTGTCTTGGGGGTCTCTGGGACGTCTCCGATGACCCCCTGATCGCCCTAAGTGTGCTGGGAAAGCTTGGCAAAACGCCTTGCGAGGCCCAGTGGCCGCTTCGACGCCCGCCCGGAGGGCCCCAAAGCCCCAGGTCCCAGGAGTCCGTTTTTTTTTTGGGGGGGGATGGGTTTCCCCCCCGCCCGGGCTTATACAAATATAGGAGGAGGAATATATATATATATATATTATATATATATATATATGTATATATACATATATATATATATATATATACATATATATATAGAGATATATGGACGCCCTCCGCCCCAACACCCCCAAACCACCCCAAAACAAACAAAGCGCCAACTGATCGTGTTATCCTCATCCTTCTCCGTCTACTCCTCGTAATCCCGTCCTCCTCCTTCTCAGAAACTGAAAACGACTCTCTTGGGCTCATTTGAGGAGGGGTCACGTCTCTGAACGTAGGGGCCTGAAAACGCTGTTTGTTTCATGTGTTTCTGTTTTTTTCTGGTTTTTCTGATTTCTGGCAGAGACTAACGCAAGTTGGCTAGTCTCTCCCAGGAATCCGAAAAACCAGAAAAACCAGAAAAACATGAAAAACACAGCGTGTTCAGTCCCTCTACGCTAAGGGAGGAGGATTGTGAGAGGATACAGGAGTGATGCGAATGAGCGGAGGCCGAACCGTGTGAGTGTGCCGAGATTGACTTGGGGCCTTCGGTAGAGGCTCATCTGCGTGGTCACGGAACGTTTGAAGGGTGCGCCGAAGAAATTCCCCACGTTTCCCCTTCCATTCCAAACAACAGCATGGGTGAATGCAAGTGTTGCCTTTTGTGCAACATTGTAGCGTCACGACAGATCAGAAACAATATGCGTATCCGCGCACATCTCGCTCGGGCACTCCCGGTACGTTTGCCCAGCGTCTCGCAGCGCGGACAGCATTCCAACGATAAGCTTCACAGGTCATATGTGGCAAGCAAAAGGGCTGCGCATCGGCGTGCGCATCAGCTGCAGCAGATACTACTGCGCCCGGTTCAGTCAGAGGCCGAGCCCTCGCCCACGTGCGGGAAGGACCACTCGCCACCTGAAGCGGCGGCCGCGCCCTCGGCCATCGTCGCGGCGATATCCTGCGAGGAGACGTCGGCGGCTGGCGGGCGCGCTGGGGACAACAGGTCGATGCTCGAGCCGTGGGCCTCCCTCCCGCGCTCGATGATACTCTCCTTCATCGCCTGCGTGGCCCTCTCGCGCTCCCCCTCGTCCATGGTGGGCGCGTCGGGGCAAGCCAAGCGCTCGACGCCGCGCTTATGCGGCTGCGTCGAGGAGACGTCGATCACGCGGCTGTGAAAGGCCACCGCGCGATCGCAGAGGCTTTGCTGAACGGCGCGGCAGACATTCAGCTGCTCATCGATATCGCGCGTATCTTCGAGAACGGGGCACGAGGCGCTGGTCGGCTGACCAGCGGCCGCTCGCGGGAACCATTCGCCCCCCTGCCTGCCGTCCGGCGGCTGCGTGGCCACCTCTGGGAAGTTGCACATCGCGGGCGCGTCCTGGTCGAAGAGCGTGGGGCCACGGGCCGTCGATGACTGCCCGAGCTCCTTGCCCCGCGCTAACTTCTCCATGGCGGCCACGGCCCACCTCGCGCGCTGGCCGTAGTCGGATGGAACGCGAGTCTGGTCTTTCTTGAATGCCTTGAGGATGTCGTACGTCTCGGGCGTGGAGAGATCTGGCCTCGCGGCCACTGGCCACGGACAGCGAGGGGCTGGCTCCTTCGTCGCGGACGCCGCCCGAAAGTACACCCAGTTCGGCGACAGGAGCACGACGTGGGACCTCGCCATGTACGCCTCCACGTTGGCCATCTTGTAGCTGCACTGCTTTTTGCAGTCACTGAAGTCTCCCTGATGAAGTCACTGAATGTTACCTCTTCTTCTCCCTGCTGACGGACTTGACCGTCGCCTCGAACTCCTCGCTATACGGATTGACGCAGATCCGGCGGGACTGGTTCTGCTCGAAAGAGGCGCCGCCCCACCTGTGCAGCGCGCGGAAAACAACAAAAAACTAAGGACCGGGTAAACTTATTAACGTAATTTGGATGCGTTTAAACAATTTTGTTCCCTAGAAATGTATTTTCCCGCGCGCCGCCGCCTCGCCCGAAGCAGCGCGTCTTCCTCGGCGGGGTCGAGGAACGCCTTGATCTCGTCGGGGCCCCACTTGGCCAGCACGGCATCGTCTGCGATGGCGGGCTTGAACATGGCCCCAGGCTCCAAGCGCAGGAAGTCGATCTTCTTCGCCGCGATGACGCTCGGGCGGAGGTCAGAGCGGAGGTGCTTCTCAATCTGGTAGGCAGAAATAGCAAAGCCGATCGTTTTGGATGCTGTGGATTTGCCGACCCTGGACTCTCCGATCCACATGGCCCCATGGGCGTCGTGGCTCCCAAGGATGGGGGCGACGACGCGGTCGAACAGGAACGGGTCAAACCGCTTGAGAGTGACCGCCGAGCGCTCGAGTGTCCTCGCGCCGACAGTGCCCGACGCGTAGTTGCGGGGCGACTCCATGACGTCTGATGCCATCCATCCGAAGATCGGAGAGTTCTCGTCGTGAATCATCTCGTCGGTCCACTCTACGAACTGGTTTTTGCTGTTGGCCCTCGGGCCGTACTTCTCGATGCAACGGTAACCCGCCTGCCGCTTGTCCTTGTCATAAACGTCGGCCCCTGCGGCTGCGACAGTGGCCACGGACGGCCGGGCCCAATGGCGGATCTGTACTCTGCCCATCTTCTTGTCGGGCGAGTTTCCCCAGTGGAGAGTCAGCGCCGTGCCGGAGAGAAAGACCTCCTTCGCGATGTCCGTCCGCGCGGCCGTCTCGAACTTGATGCATTGCAAAGCGAACTGCCGACCGATGTCTTCCTTCGGCGAAGTGTGGGGATGCATTGTGAATTCGATCTCGCCAGGGTCCTTGTTCGGGCTGAACGGGCCTGGCAGCGCCATGTAATTGCCGCCGCACATG